TGGCTGGGATTAAGAGCCGATGCCACGTCTTTTGTCTCTTACAAATCTTCTCTCTTTATAAAAAGAACTAGGGCCTCGATTTAATCAGATAAACCACATAACAGCTTGTTTATTCATCCTAAGCCCTTTCTCCCTGCCCTAGGTAACCTTCATCGCCTTCAGTTTCTGACACTTTGCACACACACTGCAAACACTAGTGGTGTCATTAAGCTTGTAAGTGAGTTGTTTCGAATGTGTCTATCAGTGTATAATTTTGATGCCTTCAACACTTTGCATGGAGATGTCTTTCTGCATATATATACATGTATGTATATATATAACTGATTTAGTATATTTTACTTCATAAAGTTCCTGTTATCTTTATGGGTGCATATTTTCTGGCTTCTGACTCTATTGTAACATCCGTTTGATTGTTTTAAAATCCCTCCTCCTCTTCTTTGGATAAAGTCTCCCTAGATAACACAGGGTGGTTTTGAACTAGAAACTCTCCCGCCTCCCCTCCTGTGTGCTGGAATCCCAGGAAAGCAGCAACACAACCACATGAGCATTCCTTCATCTGCTCTCTTGTGCATATGTGTGAGAACTTCTCTGGGGTGTTACCTACTCGTAGAATTGTTGGACCTCACACGGTACCAGCTTATAATTCTGCGGAATGCTGGCACTGTGCCCTTCAGAGTGGTTATTCCCAGTCACACCCTTCTTGATAGCGTGAGGGAGTTCCCCATGTCATTAGCAAGGAGTCAGTGTCAGATGTTAGACACCTGGGCAGTCTAGTGGGGACAGAAAAATATGACAGTGTTGATTTGTTTGTGTGTTTCAGAATCCCAGAGGGTGAGTAGCTTCCTGTGGGGATCCTGGCCCCTTTGGTGTCCCTCTGTGGATTGCCTGGAAGTCTCCCTCACTGGTTCCCCTCTACTTACAATTCCTTACTTGGTGGTAACTAAGCAGAATTACCCTTCTCTTTTTTATATTTATTTATTTTTATTTTTTGCATGTGAGTGTTTTTCCTGCATGTATTTCTGTGCACCATGAGCATGCCTCATGCCAACGGAGGCCAGAAGAGGGCACTGGATACCCTGGAACTGGGGTTACAGAGCGTTGTAGGCCAGGATGAGGGTGCTGGCAACCGAGTCTGTGTCTTCAGGAAGAACAGCCAGTTCTAAGCAGAACTTCGTAGGGGTAGATGACATGGGTAATTTACAGCTAGAAGCTGGGCAGTGGACTTTACTTAGATAAGAACCAGGAGCAACCTTAGCATTAACTGCTAGGTGTGCTTTGCCCACTCAGGACACAGTCTGTCTCTTTGATCAGGGCCATGTAACCCAGCATTCCTTTCTTCACACTCTATGGCCATTTTTATAATATCGAATGGCCTTTGAGAAAAACTGATCTGGTGTTAGGTCCACGAACAGCCATCCTTTGCTGTGCCGGATGCTGCTCACTGTGTCCTGAATAGTGTGCATGAATCAGTGACAAAACGGGTCCTCTTGTTTTCTTGAGTATTTGCAGCCAAAGAACTTAAAAATAAAAATTAGACAATTCTAGCAAGTCAGTGTTTTTGATTTTTGTTTTGTTTCGTTTTGTTTGAGACAGGATCTCACCATGTAGCTCTCACTGTCCTGGAACTCATTTATGTATGTCAGACTGGTCTCAAGCTTGCAGAAATCTCCACTTGCCTCTACTTCTCAGGGACTGGGATGAAAGGCGTGCCCCACCATGCCTGGCTAAATCGGTGCTTTTTTAACCTTAATTTTTTACCTCATTGTCATGTTGTCTCTGCTTTCTTTGTGCTCATTTTGTTTTACTGAGCACAGCTGGGTCACATGTAATCTAAGCTCTGGGCTAAAACGGAATAAACAATTAAAAATGGCACAAACAACCAAGAGAAAGGTTGAAGCGAAGATAAATGTTTTGGCTGTGGATGTTGCTCAGATGCCTACCCAGGGTGTTGAGTGTTTTGCCTGATCAGGGAGAATGCAGTGATGACCCCTACAGAGAGGAAAGCAATGGAAAGGGTTCAGAAGGATGGCTGGCACCGTGCTAACTCAGGCGCACGGAAAGGTGGGCTTGTCCCATGCCCCAGTGGCGAGTCCAAAGAAGCCTCCCCCACTGATCCTTCCGTCCCTGCTGCTGGGGCACAAAGAGAATGCTAAAAATACTTACACTCTGGAATCCAGGTCTTAGTGTAGCTCGCTGAGGAGAATGGGGTCACTGTGGTCTTACTGAAAATGTTAGTGCAATGAAATTCTTGGAAGAGCCGTCTCCAAAATGTGATGATTTTGAAACATTTCTTAAATTTTGATGTCAAAAATTGAGCGTTTCAGTTCAGGTCTTGAACTATTATTTCCTTCTTCTGTGGTGGATAGGAAGAGGAAGGACTAGCCACACTTTCTGTCTTGTGTCCTGTGAAGGGCTGGATTAGGAGTCTGAGAGTTTGGGAAGTGGTTGGCCTGTTTTGAAGACTCGGTTTCTGATGTAGTGTTTGTGCGGCTCCCTTTAAAGTGATTTTCATATTGGTGTCATTTATATACACAGTCATTCAATTTTAATTTTAATGTGTCCTAATTCTGTCCTATCATTTCTTCTTGTGTGTGTGTGTGTGTGTGTGTGTGTGTGTGTGTGTGTGTATCTCTGTGTGGTCTATCTGTACATATGTGCGAGGGCAGAGGGCACGCTTACCTCTGTGTGCTTGTGTGGAAACCAGAGCTCAACTTTGGATATCTTTCTCTATTGTGTTCTATCTTGCTTTTTCAGGCACAGTCTCTCACTGAACCTGGAGCTAGCTATTTCAGTCAGACTGACTGGCCAAGCAGGCCATGGGATTGGCTTGTCTCCATACCCACAGAATTAGGGTTACAGGTGCACACCCCCAACTTTCATGTGGGTTCTAGAGATAAACTCAGTCTCTCATGCCTCCACAGCAAGCTCTTTACCCTCTCCTCAGCCCTAATTTGCCCAAGTTATTACTATTCATCTTACCATTTTCTTTTGCCTATTGGGTAGGGACTGATAGAGATTCTGGGTGATGTTATGTGTCATTACTCAAGACATTTATTTCATTTTAACTCATTATTAGTGGAAGAGCTATATGTTTGGCTCTAGTGGATTAATTAACATGTTATACATCTTAATGTTTTTCAAAGAGGACAACGGAAGATTTACCATGACTCCTGCAGTACTTTTGTAACTGCCTATCGATCCTCCATCATCCATCCATCTATACATACATTCATTTGTCTATATCCAAATACATGCTCAATCTAGCCATCACCCATCCATCCATCCACCCGTCCACCCACCCACCCACCTATCAGTATCTACCAATTCATCATCCATCCACCCATCCATTCACCCATCCATCCATCCATCCATCCATCCATCCATCCATCCATCCACCCACCCATCCATCCATCTATCCGCCCATCCATCCACCCATCCATCTATCAGTATCCACCAATTTATCATCCATCCACCCACCCATCTATCCATCTATCCGCCCATCCATCCACCCATCATTCATCCACCCATCCATCTATCCATCTGCTCATCCATCCATCCACCCATCCGCCCATCCATCTATCCATCCATCTACCCATCCACCCATCATCCATCCACCCATCCATTCACCCATCCATCCACCCATTTGCCCATCCATCCATCCATCCATCCATCCACCCATCATCCATCCATCCATCCATCCATCCATCCATTATCCACCCATTTATTATCCGTACATCATTCGCCTCTCATCCATTCATCTGTCATCTATATATCATATATCTATTTATCATCCACCTATCCATCATCTATGTACTGCCTTCTTTGTTTAACCTTGGAGCTGTGATGCATATCAAGAATTATAGAAACAATTCTGTTTTCAAAAGGATTGTGACCTAAGAACATAGAGATAGGTTCTTAAATAGCTATCACACAAAGCAGAGCACAAAAATCTCCAGGATGGTAGTTTTAATGGTTCTATGTTTGCACTATTTGGTGACTTTATTGATTGCACATGACAGAAATCCAGATCAAATAGGTTAGTAATGTCTGTTTCAGAAATTGCCAGATCCAAAGACCCAGGTAGTATTTTGAGGACATTGCTCCTTTTTACGTCTCATTAGCTCTCTTCCTGTTGACTTCATTCTTGGATGGCCTCTTCCTTGTGATAGAAAATTTACCTGCTGGAAGCCCTAGGCTTGTGTTATTCTTCAGCTATGAGTCTAGAGAACGAGAAAGACCCAACACCCCTGTCCCAGGATTCTTAGTGTTAAATCTTAAGGGAGAGTTTCACTGAAGTCACATGCATGTCTGTCAGCCAATCATCATGGCCAAGGGACTATTCTGTCATTAGCCAGAGTCCTTGTTAACTCCTATATTTATGAGCCTTGGGGGCTGGGGAGGAAAGATAGTTTCCTACTGAGACTTCACTAGGGCCACCTGGGGCTTGTGGAATGTGGTTCATCAAAGGAAATATTGGAATTGTTGCTGACAAAGGCAGAAGGAGAGAATGCTGGCCAAGCAAAGCACAGGAGGGAGATGTGGGGGAAATGCACTTCCTGTTTTAGAAGATAAAAGGAGGAAGTGACTGTGTCTCCTGGAATGTGCAGAACCGTGACTTTTCTTACACCTCAGGACACATTTTCACCTTTGAATAGTGGTGGTACCTTTAAAAGGGGAGGAAAACCGAAAAATTTAGGCAGGAAAGTGATAAATGATGAGGCGTTTGGTGAAATCTGGTCAATTTAATTGTTGCCTTCACTGGAAAGAAAGGGTTGGAGGGGTCTAGAGGCAGCTGGTGGAATGGGGGGCGGTGACATGATCAAAATAAATTGTACTAAGTTCTCAAAGAGCCAACAACAGATCATAAAAGGAGACTATAACTGTGTGGTGCCGAAGGGACTCCTGGGACTCCTTGGTAAGGTTGCGTGGAAGTTACCCGTTATTCCGTGTTCTCCCCTGCATTCTGAGTCACCCCCATTTTCCTTTCTGCTTTGTTACAGTTTCATTGCAAATCAGAAAAGGCTAGAAATCATCAATGAAGACGACGTTGAAGCTTATGTGGGACTGAAAAGCCTGTGAGTACTCACCACTCATGTACATTACCTCGGAGCCTTTCTTGCGTTCTGCTGTGGTCGGGTAGGTGACTTGCTGCTTAGCTCTAACGTGAATGCCCGTTATGTGTCTTCTGCAGGACAATTGTGGATTCTGGGTTAAAATTTGTGGCTTACAAGGCATTTCTGAAGAACAGCAACCTTCAGCACGTGTGAGTAGAGAGTGATCCTGCTCGTTTATTCAGTGTTTTCTCACTGTTGTTGAGTTTCATCCTCTACTAGCTCTAACCTTCTCTCTGGTAGTTAGTGTCATTCTGATAACAGCTTAGGGGCGTTCACGTCAACTCTGTTGATTTCGGAACGGCTTTGGGGTGCTTAGAACAGCCTGTTCATTCCCTTTTGTGAATTTCTGGGCCGTTTCCATTTTGGACAGAGCGCTGGGCCAACGGCAAGGACTCTGATGTGAAAATGATGTCCTTGTACAGAGGTCTTGATTCTTTTCCTTGGAATGAGACATACTCCCTGGAAGACATCAAGCTAAGTAATCAAGACATGGACTTGGCCTTGGACAGCTTGGGGAAATAAAAATTACTAATGTTTTTCCCCTTATGGTAGGGCTGTTTGAGCCTCCGTTTTCTTAACAGCATGGGCCTTGGGTTGATAAAAATGGAGGGAAAAAAATCAATCACTGGACAAGCTACAGGTTCAGATGACTCTTAATAGTATGGACTGCTTCCCCCAAGTCACGCTGGTATTTTGTTGACTGACATCAATTGGAAATGCAGGAGATAAGCATTATTATATGGCTTTCTGGTAAGTCCCCTCAATGATACCAGTTAAGTCAATAAATTATGGGCTTCCTGAGATATCCTATTAAATAGATCGCCCAAAAGACTAAAATGTCCACGGTCCCTCCCCAGACTCAGATTCCCTCACACTGTCAGTTTCAGGTGGGATCAGTCTGCTGGCTGGCTGTCATTTGTGTTCCTGGGGACCAGCTTCTCCTTGCAATGATAACGTCAGCATTTCACAGTTTGCTGTTTACCTGCCGGGTCTCACCCAGATGTCTCTTGGGTAGAATGGTGTCTATACTCCCAGCACACAGGCAAAACTCCAGAGCGAGGGAGCTGTGGGACTTACCCAGTGGCCAACTCCTCAGCATGTTCTTAGGACAGGAATAAAGGAGATAAGATTTCTGCCATTGCTATCATCTTGCAACATCTGTCCCTTCTCCCTTCCCCGGGGAACACGGTTCCCGGCCTGATTTCCATGCCGGTTATTAAAGAATTCATTGTCTTAGAGCAGCCTGCCTGGTTCACTCTGTGGAGATGTGTTGATATTACTGAAGACCTTAATTTCATAAAGTCATTATCATGAGTTCATATTTTATATGTGACAGGAATAATGAAGTCACTTTGTAAGATGTAAAACACTCTGCAAAGCCAGAACAAAACTCTGGGCACATTTTAAAAACACATCCCCTTGAAACACTTCTTGACAGCCTGTCTGGATTGGTTTGCTGGGGCAAACCTGGTGTGTTGGTAGCCCTTGGTGGCACAGACGGGACAGCAGGATAAGAATGGAGAAATGCTCCGCTGCACTCGCTCAGAAGTAATTAATGACCTTAATAGTTCAGTTTTTGAATTTTCATTGCAAATGACCTTAGACCTTTAATCGCTCAGCAGTTGCTTTGTGTACTCTTGGGGGATTGATGCTCCCATTATAATATGAACAGTGGGCCACGGCCAATTGTAATTCTATTGATAGCCCTTGTGTGTGTGGTTTGTGTGTGTGTGTGTGTGTGTGTGTGTTATAGGATATGTTTCTGTGCTATGCTATAGGATAATTTTAATGGTGCCCTAGCTCGCACATCCATAAAGTCATGTATCTGGTCCTGCCTCTTGACGTGGTCTTATTTAAACTAGGAAACTAAAGAGGGGGTAGATATTCTATGTAGCTTCCTTAGCAGACAACAAGCAGGAGCCAATAACTGATCAGACTTCAAAACCTTTATTGATTTGTGTAGTGGCTACTATCCAGCAGTATGGCGTGAAGAAATGAGGCAAGGGTAGGCGTTCACAGAGCGGTGGCGTGTCAGCGAGCTTCGTGCTCCCTCGTGAAGAAGGGGGCCTCTCCCCAGTCACAGAATGAGGCTGAACCAGGCAGCCTGCCGTGGACGATGGGAAGGTGCCAGTTCCAGCATCTGCCTTCCGTCCCAGCCTCTGCCTGGGTCTGAGGACCCTGGGGGTCATCTTGTTGTCCCTGGATGTCCTGAGTGCAAACTACACTGACCTCGATTATCAATAAAGAAATGTGTGCACTAAGCTGTCCCTCTCCAGTCCCAGGCTCGCCTGACAACCCCTCTGGGGTCCCTCACCCACGCAGCAATGTGGGAAAGTGCCCCTTGGACTTTGGGGAACTTCAGCGGGGAACCCTGGCTCATCCTTGCCTCAGCTTGCCTGGTCCATGTTGGTTAGCCCCACACAGCCACCTCCAGAGCTCTGAATGTATGCCTAGGTACCTCTGATTGCTGCCCAGACCCTAAAACCCTCAAGGACTGTGAGAAAGGCCAGCATGTGTGTTTTCCAGGGGCTTTGCCGAGGTGCTAATTATGCTCTTAACAGAGTTTTACAATCAAACAGTAAGAGGATTGTTGGTTTTTTTTTTCCCCCTTCCTTCTTCCTCCTTTTTGGCTTTTGGCCCCTTTCCTAAGTATGCTTCATAAAACTCATCTTGTTCTTTGGCCGGTAACCCTGCTCTGCACTGTGCTGCTGGGAGCCCAACAGAGCAGCTGCTTCCAGGGAGGGCAGAATGGAGCTGAGGGGGTGGGGTGGCTGCTCCATAGGGCAGAATGGAGCCAATGCGGGGATTGTTCCACAGGGCAGCATGGGACTGATGGGGGTGGGGGTGGCTGTTCCATAGGGCCTGCCTCCCCCCTCCTTGTCCCCCTCCTTCCCTGTTTTTAACTTATCTTGGAAAGAGGGAAGAACGTATTTTTTTTCCTTTGGTTTCATTTCTTCAGAGGGATTGGGATTTGTGACAAATATGAGCGTACCTGCCTGCGCCTTAAGACAGGCGTAGACTTTTTAATGGGATGCGCTCCACTGAAGCCCATCTTCAGCTCGTGTTCCAAAAGAAAAGACTTACACGGGAAGTCTAAAACTTCCCAGTGGATTATACTTTCATGTAGGACACCACTTGTTATGATAAAGCTGGGTGGGGGGCAATTTGGCAAAGTCCATGGTAGGCGATGGTGACCATGGCAGGGGTCAAACACACCAGGCAGACGGGGCTCAAGTGAGAAGTTTGGGGAAAGAGGTAAAGAGACACAGACACACAGACAGACAGACAGACAGACAGACACACACACACACAGAGAGAGAGAGAGAGAGAGAGAGAGAGACAGAGACAGAGACAGAGACAGAGACAGAGACAGAGACAGAGACAGAGACAGAGACAGAGAGAGAAGACAGAAGAGAAGAGGGAGACAGGAAAACTCCTGTCTGCCCCAGGGGAATAGCAGGGAAAGAGAGCGAAAGTGGGCGGGGTCTTTCTTTTAAAGGGGTCCTTTGCACCTGCTTGCAGACTATGTAGTCATGGGCTGTCCCGCGTGCTGCCTGAGTGCATTCTGCCAGGTGACAGGGGCAGGCCAGCGTAACGCTGGAATCCCTACACCGTTTCCTGTGGGTGTGCACCAGTGTAAAGTGGTGTAAGTGTAGAAGGCAGGGCGCATCCTGCTGTCGGTTGGGGTTCAGGTGGCTGGAGATCTCTGTGAGGAGGTCCACCGGATGGACACCCACCTTGTTTTTCCTTTTCTTCCTTTCTTTTTTTTTCTTCTGGTTTTTCGAGACAAGGTTCTCTGTGCGGCTTTGGAGCCTGGCCTGGAACTCACTCTGTAGACCAAGCTGGCCTTGAACTCACAGAGATCCTCCTGCCTCTGCACCCATTCTTGAGATAGGAGAAGACACACCTTTCTCCATTGACCGGCTCTCACGGTTGCTAGCTCATGATTTCTCTTCCCGGGCTTGGGTCTCTCTCTGAAGATGACTGTTCACACAGACCAGAAAGCACTTCCACTGAGAATCACTGGGCTGACTGAGCGTACTGGCCTCAGGTCAGGGCCAGGATTACTGTCGCTATCAGACATTATATCTCATTCACTCGAAGCAGAATTTAAACAGCAAACAAACTTAGCTGCCAGGGTGATGGCTGGGAATTTCCCGCCCCCATGATCATGGCATAGATCACTGGAAATGCCCACCCACCTGACAGAATCGCATATTTGGAGCACACCAGGAGACTCATCAGGTCTTTCATTGTTATTGTTTTTTGTTGCATATATATTTGCCACGGATAAAGCATCTTTCCACTGGTTTATGTAAATCTGAAGATACCGTGTTTCTGGGGGGTTCAGGATAAAGCCTGACAACATACCCCGTTCCCCAATTTTCATCCTGCCTTCTTCGTAGAGTTACTTGCTTGTTGAGGCCGTCTGTGAATGACCTCACCGGGACCACTTCAGACAGCGCGGGTGGTCTTTCCCGAAAGACAGTTGATACTCTGTGTCTATCCCACACTCTGTTTGCCTTGCCACGTGCCTCAGGATGTTCAAGATGCTCCTTAGTCAGAAAGCTTTTGTGTTCTTGTGAGCTTGCGATGTTTAAAACCTCAGGACCTCCACCAGGCAGAGAACTGGACTTCCAGTCGCCATGTGAGATGTGAGCATTGGGGTGAAATAAGAATATTAAAAATAGACTCCACGAAGCACACACTATCCTTTCACAGCATGTAGAAGCCACAAGAGAGGCAGCGAACCCAGGAAGTTATCTTTCCGGGTAAAAGCCACGATTGGAGTACAGTATGATATTTGACATTGTATGTAGTATATGCAAGTGATGTTTGAAAACAAAGTCTTTATTCGAACACATCATTCAGAAACCATGACCTTATGAATTCACACCGTGTATCTGATTTCTTTCAGTAATTTCACAAGAAACAAGCTGACCAGTTTGTCGAGGAAGCATTTCCGACACCTTGACCTCTCTGATCTGTAAGTAATGATTTTGTCTGGCATTTGGGGGAAAATTTTCAAACGGAAGGATAATTAGGTATTTTTTTTCAAATGAGTACCATTGCAAGTTTATGTTGCATCAGAATTGTTGAAAAATGACTTCTCTAGTTTTGCCCCAATTGTGTAATTAAAATCTCAATCTCAATTATATGTCATTATGATCAGTTGAATGTTTTTACATAAATAATTTATTTTCTAATAGAGGAAAAGGGGAAAAAACAGCAGGGAGTTTTGTGTTAAAGTGGCTTTATATTTCATCTCATCTGGCTCCTGTTTTATCCAAGCCCCCAAATAAAGCAAGTTCATCAAAGAGGAAATTATAGCAGAAGAAATCATTCCAGCTTTGTCCGTCAGCCTCAGCCAGCGTAGACTTGGGTGTGGCCGGCGTGGCCGAGAGTTCATTCTCCGCCCCTGCCATCTCTGGAAGCTTTTCTTTTCGGTCCACCTCTGTGCTCAGTATTTATCCGTGTGACCTAGTTTCCTCTGCTGTAAAAGGATAGAACTGGACTCCGATGGTGTTCATTTCTGGGTGCAATGGCCACAAGGCAAGTATACGAATGGCTGCCATTGCTGTAGGGAGGTGCTTGAAGGATCTCCAAGGACTGGTGAGGCTGGAAGGACAGGCCTTGGAGGTTAGGGAGAACCACTAGCATAAACCACTTAAAAATATCCGTTCTCCATATTTACCTTCTCTGGGAGAGTCAGGAATGTGAGGCAGGACGGGTGTCATCACATATCCAGACCTGAAGGGGAAGCCAGGGTTCTTAGTGAGGTTTCCCAGCTCAGGGCAGGGGAGGTGAGTTCCAGGACCACTGCCCTGTCTACTCCCCAGCACCAGAGAGGTGGGATAAGCCTGGGCCCTGTTCCCATCTGGGGGGGGTGGTTCCTGTCCCCACCTTTGCTGTTGTGCCAGACTGTGACAGGGCTAAGAGGTGACTTGGGCTCTGAGTACCAGGATGAAGCCCCCTAGAGAAGGAACCACAATGGAGCCCCAGCCTCCAAGGCAGACGTGTGAGAAGGTTGTCCGCGAGCGTGTGTGACAGAGCTGGGACTGACTTCTGGGGTTCAGTGTATGTGATGGGGGTGTGGGCAGGGGCAGTGTGGGGAGAGTTAAGGCTCTGGACTAGAAGATTGGAGAAGAAACTGGGGGTGATGTCATGGTCCTCAGATTAATGCCAGAAGAAGGAGTGCTCATTGGATTAGGCGCCCAGGATGAGACACGCGCTGCATCTTCCTGTACAGAGGGCGAGCCTTCCCTAAGTTCCTGGGCATCATGCAGGCAGGAGGCTTCCTCCAGCGGAGAGTCACGGCTCTACAAAGCAGGAAGGGGCTGCATGGTGAAAGTCTTTGACAACTGGCAATTATTTGGAGTAAACTGACTTCAGGGAGTCAAAGCACACTGGTTTTTGTTTTCCTTAAGTTATTCTAAATTGATACTAGTTGTGTATTTCTCTGGAGCACAGTATGATATTTGACATTGCATGTAGTGTATGAAGATACGTGTGTATCTTTTATACTGATACACTGATTATATATGTGTATATATATATATAAAATCTCAAATATTCAACACTCAAGATACTTCCTCCCACCTCTTTGGAAATATAAATTACTGCTTAGCAGCCCTGCTGCACTGCAGAGTGCTGTGACTTCCTTTGTCTAGCTGTGGCTTTGTACCCGGTTGGCCAGTCTCCATCACGCCCTCCCCACCACCGTTCCCGGCTCCCAGAAACCACCATCCTACACCTTATGCCTATGGGACCAGTTTAACTAGCTCCACATGTGAGTGAGGACGTGCCCGCCATGTGCCCTTCTGCCCCCTCGGCGTTTCGGACGCCGGGGAGAAGGCGTGACACCTGAAAGGCAGGTGTGTGACACGGAGCGGGCACGCCTGCCCAGCGCCTTGTTCAATGGGTGCCAGCGGTGTGTGGGTTACCAGCCAGAGTGAAGGGAAGAGCATTTGAGTCTGGGATCCCGTCCTTTAGTGGGAGAGGTGGGAGACTCAGCAAACCCGGGCAACCGTCACGGGAAGAAAAGGGAGCCAGCTCTCCTGTCCGTGCTGAGTGGACACGCGAACACCCTGGTTCAGAACTGAGGCATCTTTCCCATGTCTCCCCCCTTCCTGGCTTATTTGATCACAGCCTCATTTCAGAAAGACGTTTGCTGTTTGCGTACTCAGAACTCTAGGAAGCACCCTGGGTGACTGGAGTTTGAGCCGAGGGTGGGTCTTTTCCTACCCGCTAATTATCGTCTCGTAGCATCAAATACTACTCCAATATGTTGGCAGGATGCTGGGAGGTAGGAGGGCAGACACAGATTAAACCAGTCCTACCATGACCGCATTTCCCCCAAGAAACTCACAGAAAGGTCTCCGGGGA